TGCTGAGTTTTGGGCATCTCAGGGTGGTAGTATTGGGTTTTAGGGGGGTCTCAGTGAGCTAGTGGTTGGGTTTTGGTAGTGCTACCGTGCTGAGACCCCCAAAGCCCAGTACTACAAGCCTCAGACCCCCTAAACAAGCACTAAGTCACTGAGACTCCTCCAAAACCCAGCAATACTGGCCTGAGACCTCCAAAACCCAGCACTACAGCCTTCAGAACCCCCTAAACACAACACTATGTTGCTGAGACCACCAAAATCCACCACTACAGCCCTGAGACCCCCAACACCCAGAGCTAGCTCACTGAGACCCCCAAATCCCAGCCCTATGTTACTGGGACCTCCCAAGACCCAGCACTACAGCACTGAGACCCCCAAAGCCCAACACTAAAGCCCTCAGATCCCCTAAACAAAACACTAAGTAATTGAAACCCCCAAACCCACCACTACAGCCTTGAGACGTCAAAACCGAGCACTACCTCACTTAGACACCCCTAAACTAAGCACTACTGCACTGAGACTCTGGAACAGACCACTAGCTCACTGAGACCCCCCCCAAACCCAGCACTATAGCACTGAGACCCACAAAATCAAGCACCAGCTCACTGAGACCTCACAAACCCAGCCTTACTGCCCCGAGACCCGCCTAAATCCAACACTCAGTTGCTGAGACCCCCTGCAAAACCCAGCATTACCTTGCTAAGACTGGCCAAAACCCAGCACTACAAACCACAGATGCCCCAAAAGGCAGCACAAAGTCGCTGAGATCCCACAAACCCACCACTTCAGCCCTGAGACCCCCACAAACCCAGCACTCTAGCGTGGACACCCCCAAAACCTACCACTACCACGCTGAGACCCCACAAAACCCAGCACTAGATCACAGACCCCTAAACCCACTACTAGCTCGCTAAGACCCCCCCAAAACCAGCACTACCATGCTGAGACCCCACAAAGCCCAGCACTATGCTGCTGAGACTGCACAAAACTGAGCATGTCACTGAGACCCCCCAAAACTCAGAACTACTGCTCTGAGACCCCCCAAAACCCAGCAGTACCACATGGAGACCCCCCCAAACCAAGCACTATGTCTGCGAGACCCTCAAAAACCCAGCACTACCACCCTGAGACCTCCAAAACCCAGCACTACAATCTTCAGACCCCCAAACCCCGGAACTAAGTTGCTGAGATCCCCCTGCAAACCCAGCACTACCTTCTTGACACTGCCGAAAACAAAGCACTATGTCACTGAGATCCCCATAACCCAGCATTACAGCCTTCAGACCCCCAAACCCCAGAACTAAGATGCTGAGATCCCCTCAAAACCCAGCACTACTAGATAAGACCCCGAAAATCCAGCACTACCAAGCTGAGATCCCACAAAACCCAGCATTAGCGCACTGAGACCCCCAAAATGCAGTACTACAGCCCTCAGACCCCCCAAAATGCAGCAGTAAGTCATTGAGACCCACTCAACCTAGCACTACAACTCTGAGACCTCCAAAACCCAGCACTAGCTCAGTGAGACCCCCCCCACAAAAAACCCCAGCACTTCCACCCTGAAACGCCCAAGCCCAGCACTACAGCACTCAGACCACGCAAGATGCATCACTAAGTTGCTGAGAACCCCCAAACCCAGCAGTACAGCCCTGAGGCCTCCAAAACCCAGCACTACCATGCTGAGACCCCACAAAACCCAGCACTTACCGCTCTGAGAAGCCCAAAACCCAGCACTACCATGCTGAGACCTCCAAACCCAGCACTAAAGCCTGGAGACCCCCCAAACCCCAGCACTACAATGCTGAGACCCCCCAAACCCCAGCACTACAATGCTGAGACCCCTGAAGGCAAGCTCTCATACTTCAAGACCTCCCAAAACCAAGCACTACCGTGCTGAGACCTCCAGACCCAGCACTAAAATGCTGAGATCCCCCAAACCAACCACTACCTCATTGAGACCCCCCCCACAATGCAACACTACCACCCTGAGATGCCCCAAACCCAGTACTACCAAGCTGAGACACCACAAAACCCAGCATTACTGCACTGAGACCCCCAATTGCAGCACTATAACCCTCAGACCCCCCAAAATGCAGCAGTAAGTCACCAAGACCCCCTCCAACCCAGTACTACAGCTCCGAGGCCCCCAAAACCCAGCACTACAATTATGAGACCCCCCTAAGCCAAGCATGACCCCACTGAGACCTCCAAAACCCAGCACTAGCTCAGTGAGACCCTTCAAAATGAAGCACTATCGTATTGAGACCCCCAAAGCCCAGCACTACAGCCCACAAACTCCCCAAAACACAACCCTAAGTCACTGACACCACCACAAACCCAGCACTACAGCCCTGAGGCCCCCAAAACCCAGCTCTACTACACTGAGATGCCTCAAAACCCAGTACTACCAAGCTTGGACCCCCTAATATCCAGCATTACCTTACTGAGACTCCCCCAAACCCAGCACTACAACCCTGAGACCCATGAAATGCAGCACCACCATGCTGAGACCCCTCAAAACCCAGCACTATCTCCATTAGACATCCCTAAACGAAGCAACACTGCACTGAGACTCCAAAACAGATCAATAGCTCGCTGAGACGCCCCAAAACCCAGCAGTACCACCCTGGGATGCCTGATACCCAACAGTATTGTGCTGAGAACCTCCAAAGCCCAGCACCAACTCGATAAGACCCCCTAAAACCAGCTCTACTGCACTGAGGCCCCCAAAACTCAGGCTACCATGCTGAGAATCCACAAAACCCAGCACTAGCTCACTGAGATCCCCTAAAACCCAGCACTACCATGCTTAGACCCCCCTATGTCCAGCACTACCACACTGAAACCCCCCAAAACCCCGTACTCGCTCTCTGAGACACCCCCCCAATACACACCACTACCGTATGGAGACCCCAGAAAATCCAGCACTATCATGCTGAGACCCCAGAAAACCCATCATTACTGCCCTGAGACCCCAAAGCCCACCATTTCAGCCCTGAGACCCCCCAAACCAGCACTACCTCGCTTAGATGCCCCTGATCCAACACTACCACACTGAGACCTCAAAAACCCATCATTAGCTTGCTGAGACCCCCCAAAACCCAGCACTACTGTGCCGAGACCTGACAAAGCCCACCACTAATGACCTGAGACGCCCAAACCAAGCACTACCACATCGAGACTCCCAAAACCCGCCGAGACCCCTCAATGTCCAGCACTACTTTGCTGAGACTCCCCCAAAACCCAGCACTATGTCACTGACACCCCCCCAAAACCCAGCTCTATGTCACTGACACCCCCCCAAAACCCAGCACTGCAGCTGCCGAAAACCCAGCACTACATCGCTGAGACCCCCCAAAATCCAGCATTACAGCCCTCAGACCCCTAAAACCCATGTCAAGGGTAATTTCCCACTCTGGCACTTCGAAGGTGAGGGCCTGCAAGAATTCTAAAAATTAATACTGGCCACTCCAGGCTTGTATTAAACTCCCAAGGTTTCAGCTTTTCTCTGACCTTGGCTTGGTAGATGCTGCCACCACCCAGTGCAGAACCCCTCTGAGAGCCCAGGAAGGTGCACTTGGGAATTCCTTCCTGTGGGTTACCCTCAAGTCCTTTCACCCCCCCTCCAGGGAAGAGCTGAGAAAGAAAAAAAAAGGAAATCAGCTGTTGCCACCAGCTAATTAAACAACATGTGCACAAACCCCTTATGACAAAAAAATCCAATCCTGTTCTTAAAAAAGGTAAATTTTATTAAAAAAAAATAGAAAGAAAGAGAATACATCTGGAAACTCAGGCTATTGCTAGATTTTAAAAGAGTAACTACAAGGATTAAGCACCCAGAATAGCTTTCTTGAGGTCCTGCTTGAAGTTTACAAGAAAAACAAAAGCACCTGGGGTTAGCACAGAGGAATCCACAAGCCATAATGAAATAAAAGGAATAAACCTAATCATGTCTTCCTAGACATTTCCTGATCTACTTACATATCCGGGGTCTTAAATGAGTAGTTTCTAGGTACGATACTGATGATTTTTTCATACCTGGCCCAAGTTTCTTACAACATAGCTTTTGCCCTGTCTGCCTCTCCCCAGGAGAACAACAACAGACTGACAAAAGGGGAGTCTTTTTTCCATTTAAAAAAGTTCTAGCCTTCCCATTGGCCCTTTTGGCCAGGTGTCCACTCACTTCCTTTTACCTGTGCATAGCAGTGAGACTTTTTAGCCCTTTACAGGTAGAGCAATTAGAGAACAGCTACTAAGAGGGATTTTATAGCTACTGGCTGGCTGGGTGTCCATAAAAGGAAGCTTCCCCCCCCCCCTTCATTTATCACAACCCAGTACTAAGTTGCTGAGGCCCCCCCAAAGCCCAGTACTACCTCACTGAACGCCCCCAACCCAGCATTACTGCGCTGAGACCCCTCCAAAACTGAGCACTACCGCGCTGTGACCCGACAATACCCAGCACTACCACCTAAACACAGCAGTACTATGCTGAGACCCCTCCAAACCCAGCACTATTATTACACTGAGACCTGTCCCATGAGACCTCCTACAGCCCTGAGACGCTATCCCATGGGATCAAAAGCAGCCTGATGACAGCTTTGAAATCCAGCTTGGACTACTGCAAATTGCTGCCTGCTGGAATGGAAACATCTTTGGAGTGGCCTGGGAGGCCATGGCTTTGCTGTGACAGGGGGTGAATGCTGTGCCAGTACCCGCTGTTACTGGGGCCCCCTGGGGGAACTTCAGCTGGGAATTGGGTGGGAGCAAAACCCAGACCCCTAGAATTCCCCAGGAACTCTTCTGTCTCACACACAGAGCCACACTAAATCCAGAGCACTTCCTGTGGCCCCACACTTCCGTCCAGCTTTCCAGCCTTGATATGTATGACTATCTTTGGTACCCAACAAACCAGAGTGAATCAATAGCTGTGCCTAGATCTGCCTATGCCCTTTGCACCAGTGGAATGATACAAAGCTGGTTGAATCCCAGAGACATGAACTCACTTGTTTCGTACAGATAGTATTCGATCACCAGGCTGGTATTGTCTGAGAAGAGGGTGGCCCCATCCCTGCCTTGGAAGAGGAAGGAAGAGTTCCAGGTTGGTTTCTCTGGGGGCCCACCAGGTTGGGTGACCTTAAATATGGGGCAGAAAAGACGACAGTGTCAAAATATACAGAGAGAAACACCTGATTTAGGGAGCACTGGAGGGTGTGTGGGTGGGGGAATTCCTGTGTCTCCTTTGACAATACAGAGTCTGCAGTAAATCCATGGGACAAGAGACCTTTATTGATTGACTAAAGGGCATTCCACAGAGCACACAGATTAGAAGCTGTCATGGATCCATATGGGTTGGTCTATGGCCCAGGCTGGAACCAGTCCCTTGGGAGTGCCAAGCCTCCAGGAACCACCCAGTTCCACAGGGACAGGCCCACAGCCTCCAAGACTGGGCCTTCAGGCATCAGTGATCCCTGTGTCTCCCCAGGGCTCCCTGCAGCGAATCTAGCCAAGCAGACTCCTGCAAGAGGCGTGTTCTGTGTCCCTTCAGGATGCTATGCTCACGGTGATTATTTGCAGCAACAGCAGGTGGCCATTCCAAAACCAGGGAACAATCTATGAATCTAGGGTTGCCAGGTTTCTGGTTTTTGACTGGAACGCACGGTCGAAAAGGGACCCTGGCAGCTCCATTCAGCACCGCTGACCAGGCCATTAAAAGTCCGGTTGGAGGTGCTGTGTGTCTAAGGCAGGCTGGCTAGTCCCTATGTGTCCTGGCTCTGTGCTGTGCCCTGGAAGCAGCCAGCAGGTCCAGCTTCTAGATGCGGGGGCCACAGGGCTCCGTGACACTGTTCTCGCCCCAATAACTGGCTCCTCACTCCCATTGGCCAGGAACCGCGGCCAATGGGAGCTGCGGGGCAGGTGCCTGTGGGGGAGAGCAGAGCATGGAGGCTCCTGCTCCCACCCCCACACCCCGCCTAGGAGCCAGACCTGCTGCCCAAGGTAAGCCCACACCCCAATCCTGAGCCCCAACCCCCTGCCCCAGCCCTGAGTCCCCCTGAAACCTAGAGCCCCCTCCTGCATCCCGAACTCCTCATCCCTGGCCCCACCCCAGAGCCTGCACCCCCAGCCAGAGCCCTAACCCCCTGCAACCCAGCCCCCTCCCACACACTGAACCCCTCATCCCCAGCCCCATCCCAGAGCCCACACCCCCAGCCCAGAGCCCTCAACCCCCTTCATCCCAACCCCCTGCCTCAACCCGCAGACTCCTCATGCACTCCGAATCCCTTGGCCCAACTCCCCAGCCTGAAGCCGCCTCTAGCACCCCAAGCCCCTCATCTCCGGGCCCACCCCAGAGCCTGCATCCCCAGCTGGATCCATCACCCCCAACTTGCACTCCAACCCCCTTCCCCAGCCCTGATCCCCCTCCCACCCTCCGAACCCCTTGATCCCGGCCTAGAGCATCCTCTGCACCCCATACCCCTCATCCTCAGACCCACCCCAAAGCCCTCACCTCCAGCTGGAGCCCTCACCCCGCCTGCACCTCAACACTTTGCCCCAACGTGGAGCCCCCTCCCAAACTCTGAACCCCTCAGCCACAGCACGGAGCACCCTCCTGCACCCATCATTTCTAGCCCCACCCCTGAACTTGCACCCCCAGCCCAGAGCCTGTACCCTCTCCTACACCCCAACCCCTTGCCTCAGCCCAGAGCCCCGTCCCAAACTCTGAATCCTTTGGCTCCACCCCCAGTCTGGAGCCCCCTTCTGCTCCCCAAACCCCTCATCCCTGGCCCCACCCCAGAGCCCGCACCCCCAGCCGGAGCTCTCATTCTCACCTGCATCCCAGTCTCCTGCCCCAGCCCAGTGAAAATGAGCGAGTGAGTGAGGGTGAGGAGAGCAAGCAATTGGGGAGGGGGAGGAGAAATGGAGTGAATGGGGCGGGGCCTCAGATGAGGGGTGGGGCAAGGGTGTTCGGCCAAGCCATAGCAACCAGCCTGCCAAACTGCTCTGCATTTCATGTCAGGCTCTGTCTCTGGCTCCTTCTTAGTCCAAGGTGAGAGGTCTGTGTTTTTTCAGAGAGCCACCCTTAACCTCACCATCCAACACCTTTCTCTTTGGTCTCCAGCTAGGGCCTTGGCTCTGCTTCCCTGCTGAGAGGTTGGGGTGGGGGACTTCCTTCCTCTTGGCGGTTGACTGCCAGGTGTCAATGTCCTGGTCCCTGGGGGTTTCCTGCTGTCTTTATTTGGACATGATTCAGAGCCAGTTGGTTCCTTAATGACCCATTCATTCCACCCCAGACAGCATGGTGGCACACACATCTCATATCTCCTGTTCTCCCCCAAGAGCAGACTTAAACTTTCCACCCCTCCCCCGCTCTGGGCATAGTACAGTGGGAAACTGAGGCACACACAGATATCTTAAAAATATTACAGAAAATTCGACTTTGGCACAGAGGTCTATGAGGGTCAATGTTCCACAGTGGAGTAAAGCCCTCACTGTCTACCATGGCTTGAAGCCTCCCCAGACAGCCCAAGTGGGACACAGGACAGACTCAGCTCTGAGTGCGCCCTGCTTCCAGGTTCCCAGTTCTCCCTCCTCTGAGAGCCCAGCCAGATCCCTCCTCTGCAACAGGCCTGGGCCCACTCTTGCCATGGGATAGGGGAAAGGAGGACTCTCTGATGGTCCATATCCACTCTATTGTGTTGAGCATACCCCTCTTCCACAGACCTTTGGGGGTACCATGTGGCTCTGTGCGTGGGATGGGATGGATGAGTGCACTCACACACTCTAGTAAGGTGCTTTTAGCACAGAGGGTTTTGGAGATGGATATGAGGCTTTGTGCACTGGGATCACAACAGGGGAAGGATATATGAGTGGATATTCTTCCTGGACGACGCTTGGCTGCCAGGGAGTGCCAGGGCAGATCTGTGGGAACGGAGTGAGGACTATGGCATCCTTCCCTCACACTGAATTAGAAACAGTAGGGCACATTCATCACCACTGCATCTCTACCCACGACAGCCCCAGGGATGAATTTGGTCCAGCGTGCTGGAATCTTAAGGCCCATCATCAGCCATGCTTTAGCAGTGTGAGATGGAAAAGTGACAGTCATGGAAAGAGGACTTGGGGCCACCTCCTCATCAGCTGAGTGGCCACTGCCTCCAGCAGAAGGATGTCAGCTGACACCAACGGAGGGTCTGACCACAGCCTGATCTCTCCTGCCCAGATCCCCAGCACTTCCCCCATTTCTGAGAAGCAGACTTTTCCAGCCATGTTTCTTCAGGGCAAGTGAAATAAGCCTGTGTTTGCTTCATTTGATCTTGCTTCCCTCTCTCTCCATACTATGTGCTCAGCTCTCTGCTTTATTTAAAGAAATCCAAGTTGTTTGTTCAACTCTGGTTGTGTCTCTCTCTCCAGCTTTCTCTCTCTCTCTCTCTCTGTCAGGAATATGCATCTAGATATTTCTTGTCAGACCCCTCTAACTTCTCAGTACTAAAGGGAAGAACCAATAAGAACATCCCCACTCTCCCATCGTTAAACCAGAAATCAGCATTCGTTGATGATGCTTTGGGATTTTTCCATCTCTCCCGGGGAAAATCAAATCTATTCCTGTTCCCCAAGCAGTGTGCTCTGGCTGGATGGACCCCTGTGCTTCCAACATGCCATGTGGGTGTAAGGGGCTAATCCACATTAATGGATGCAGCATGCTTCAAAGGATTGGGAGGACATGGGATTGCTCCTGCTGTGGGAACAGGGGAGGGGAGAATCCTCTTGCCCCTCCAGCTGGATTCATCTTGCAAGCTCAGATGGAGCTGAAGGGGTTAAATTCTATGTGCTCACTATCCCAGTAACATTGCCAGAGTTCAGCAGGGAGAGACGCTGCTACAGCAAGCCACTGAGGATTAGCTTGTTTGCATATCAAAGGGAGCAGGTGCAGAGGTGGCCCATTGATATAGGCGAACTTGGTGGTTGCCTAGGCTGCCAAGTTAAATGGAGTGCCAAATTTGAGGGAAAAAAATCAAATGAAAAAAAATTTTTAAAAATGAAAAACGTGAAAAAATACAAATAAAATAACAAAGATGTCATCATTTCAATTCCCGTGTGCTTACGGAGGGAATATGAATTATAATTAATTTCTCTACATTTCTGAGAATTTATTAATATGTCAAATCTTTTATTTACTGCAAAAAAAATTACTATTTTGGTGAATTTTTTTTCAATTTGAGATGTAGTGTCACGATCACCCACTCCGCAATTTTGATAAGCAATAACTCAGCCACAATGAAACACATCCGCCAGCGGCAAGAGCTGCAATGCTAGTGACACCTAACTCAAATATTCATCAAGGTTGCATAGCTGGAAATTCATGTAGAGCAGGAATATTGTGAGTTGATACATGTCAAATGGTCATTTTAACATGTTGCAGGTAGATGGTTAAGAATCGAGCGAATACTGTGGAAAATTTGTTTCTTAGTGCCAAAGAATAAAGAATAACATGTTTCAGCATTATAAATCCAAAATGTGAGTATCTTTAAGCGTTATTAAACCTTAGCATTATTATAGGGCTGCATAATTATAAATTTTTCTTTGTTGTAACCAGTGGTGAGCTGGAGCCGGTTCTCACCAGTTCGCGCGAACCAGTTGTTAAATTTTGAACCAGTTTTAGAACCGATTGTTAAAAATTGTTACGGCTCCCTGAGCTCCCGGCTGGGGAGGCTCCCCCGCCTTTCCCCCTCTCGCAGAGCCTTAGTGTGCCGTGCTGCTGGCGCCAGCGCTCTGGACTGCTCCTGGGCAGCTCTGCAGCTCCTGCCGCTTGAGTGGCATGGTAAAGGGATGGGGCTGCAAGCTCCAGCGGGCCGCGCGGCATCCATACATGCTGCCCTGAGGAGCATGGTAAGGGGGCCAGGCTGGAGCTGAGAGGAGGGGTTGGATAAGGGGCAGGGAGCAGTTGGAGGTTCTGGGGGGGGGTCAGGGGATGGGGAACGGGGGGGGGGCATTGGGTAGGCGTGGAAGTTCTGGGGGGTCTGTCGGGCAGGGCCGGTGCAACCATGAGGTGGCTGCTTAGGGCGCCAAGTGGTTGGGGGTGCCAAAAAGTGGTGCCCCACCAATTTTTTTTAAACAGCGGAGCACAAGGCTGCCAC